TTTAGGAAATTTTTACATAAAGCAAAAATTATAGATAATAATAGTAGAAGTAACTTTGATTTGAACAATTTTCTCCAAACATAACAGATATATTCCATAAAATATAAAAACGGCCTCCCATAAAGTACCCCCCCCCCCCCCCCCCAGATGTTCCGACTTTGTCCAAAATCTAGTCATTTCACGTCAGGATGAAATAAAACTTAAGTTTAAAATTTAATGTTTTTTTCTTTATCCGTTTTTGAATTTTCTTCAAATTTCGAAATTTACACATTTTCTCAAATATCTCGATACGGTCCATTTTAGAGAAATTATGTATAGGATAAAAATTATACAAAATTATATTACAAACAACTTTTGTTTGAACAATTTTTATAAAAAAAATATTTTTTTACATTTTGTCATATTTCTCGAATACGGACCATTTAAGGAAAATTTTGTATAGAACAAAAATTATAGATAATAATATAAGAAGTAACTTTTATTTGAAGAATTTTCTTCCCCAAACGTAAATAACATATATTCCATAAAATGTAAAAATGACCTCCTATAAAGTACCCCCCCAGATGTTCCGACTCTGCCCAAAATCTAATCAGCTCATTGGACACTGGAACAAAGCTTAAATTGAAAATTTGGTGTTTTTATGTGTATCGGTTCATGAGTTATGCGACACACACAGACATCATCGCGAAAATAGTCAAAACGGATTCAGGAGACCTCAAAACGTAAAAATCCGTCAAAACTCGAGGTCGAAAAAAATCATGATTCCTATACTTTCCTTATATCTATATACAGATGGGAAAGTAAAAATACAAAAAATAAGACAAAAATTATATAAATGGGGACGTATTAATAAAATGGAATGAAATAGAAAAGGCGTATACATTTTTATGATCAAATATTAGAGGAGAATGCAACAATATACAGGGTATTCCATTGAAAAAACCTAGAGGGTGAAAAGTACGAGTATACATGAGCAAAAAGACGTCCCCTTCTTGTTCTAGATACTATATGATTTTTGACATATTTTTGTATTTTTTCATGAAAACCTCGATTTTAAAATAATTTAGGGTGGATAGTTGCATTGAAATTCCCTGTATATTGTCTGATAAGCTATATAAGGTAATTGGGCACTTATATTTGTCTATTTTATATACAGGGTGAGACACCGAAAACGGAATATATTTAATATCTTAAAACATAAACCACTCGACCATTCACTGTTTGGTACTAATTAACAGTGCTGTTCCCAAAGTGGCGCTGGGAAACAGTAAAAAAGCCTACGCAGAACACGAGGCTAATAACCGCAGCAGTTGACAAATTAAAAAAACAGTCCAAAGGAAACACCATTCATACGTCATTCCCCTCCACTGTCACTCTAGGCAATGTAATTTAAATTGGGAAAGTACCAAGTGTGGCACGTCATTGAAACGGTAATTTTATGAGGAATTCAGGAATACTACTGTTTATTGCAGTGCCCTCTAGAGGGATAAAAAATCGTTATGTATTGTATAGCGTGACACTTCATTTAAAAGCGAATGAATAAAAAAGTTAAATAATTGAAAAAGTTAAGATTTTAATCGCAATCAATCAAAAATAAATGTATGCTACGTATTAAATTACTAATAGAATTATCTTTCAAATAAAGTGTCACGCTTTACAATAGATAACCGTTTGTATCCCTCTAAAATCAAAAGTAACACAATGAATAGTCATATTTTTTTAATTTCTCCAATATAACTTCTATTATGTTTATTCTAACGCCTTACGAAAAAAATAAATCAATCTAAAAAACCGACTTCAAAATCGTGCGATGCCATCACTACATCTTGACCAAATTTGTATGGGACCACCCCTGAGGTGTCCCCCTTACTAACAGAAAAAAAAGAATCATTGAAATCGGACACTGTTAAAGAATTATCGATAAACATACATAAAATATAAAGAGTTTGACGATTTTCTCATGGACCCAATTATTAGATTTTGACCAAATGCATGTGCGACCACCCCTGAAGTACTCTCTTTCTAACAAAAAAAAAAAAAAAAAACATTGAAATCGCACATTGTGTTAAATAATTATCGCTGAACATACATAAAAAATGAAGAGTTTGAAGATTTTCTCACCGACCCAATTATTAAATTTTGACCAAATTAATATGGGACCACCCCAGAAGTATCCCCTTGGGGTGAAAGTTTGTATGGGTGCATCGAATTTTTTGAAGGTAGAAATTTGAAAATTGGAATTGTAGCTACTCATCATAAATAAATACTGACGTAAGTAAGGATTTTTGGATTTTACATTTTTCGAGGGAAAAGGGGGAGTGAAAATTTGATGAGAGTATCGATTTTTTTTAAAGGTAGGAACTTGAAAATTGGAATTGTAGCTACCCATCATAAATAAATAATGACACATTTCAGGTTTTTTACATTTTAAGGGGAAGATACGGAAGGAGGGTGAAAGTTTGTATTAGAGTATCGGTTTTTTAAAGGTAGGAACTTGAAAATTGGAATTGCGGCTACCCATCATTAAAAAATAATGACGCAGTTCAGAGTTTTGGATTTTTACATTTTAAAGGGAAAAACAGGGGGGGGGGAGAGTGAAAGTTTGTAGGTAAGCGAGTATAGATTTTTTTAAAGGTAGGAACTTGAAAATGCTACTCATAAATAAATTATGACGTGTTTCAGGGTTTTGGATTTTCACATTTTAAGGAGGATGGAAAATGGTGAAATAATAATAAAAAAAAATAGATTAAAAAATTAGAAATAAATAAAAATGAAAAATAAATTAAAAATAAATAAAAATGAAAAATAAATTAAAAATAAATAAAAATAATTAAAAACAAATAAGTGGAACTTCTTACGCCCTGGTATAAAAAATATGAGTGAATTGATAAAAACAACATATTTTATTATCTCGATGTCCCGACACTCCCTACTCCCGATAGCCTAAGGGTGGACTGCTTTTCCCTCGGACAGTTTTATGTGCAGATAAGAACCGTATCAGAAATGTGGTCTAAAGATATTCTTAATTAGATTACTATACTTAAATATTAGATAACTCTACTTAACTATCACATACTATGGACCCTAAAAAACATATTATGCCTCCTTTTTTTATGTTAAAAACACTACTCCACGTGTAGGAAGCCGCGGGCTACAGCTAGTAAATGTATAAGTATGTTATCAGGAGATATCAAAAATATAAGTAAATAAAATAAAAAAAATCAAAATGTATGGAGGGTATATACTTATCAAATGAAAATATCTTTTTTTTGTAACGAAAAACTATTCAAATAAAAATTCAAAAATTACTACAGATATTCACTCAAAATTAAAAATAATATAATTTTGAAAAAATATGCCTTTCCTCTAAAAAGCACAATGTAAAAAAAGAAAAACAAAATAGAAGCAAATATAAATAAATAACTGAAGCTTCTAAAAAATATATTTTAATTCCAATGTTAAGTACAAATGACGCAGCGATCATAATTTTGTGGCGATGGAGCAGTGACTAGATCATTTGACTTTCACGTAATTCTAGAATTGAAGACTAATTAAAGTAATTTTTTTCAAGTTTATTTTATTATATAAATTAGTAAAAGTCATAAATTATTTTTAAATTGGTTATTTTATCTAAATTTTTAGGTTTTTGTTAGTGGGTCGTAGAAAAAATATGCTGTGCAAGTAGAGTGGATTGTGCGTATCGCACGCAGACGTTTTAGCACTCCGCTTATGGCGTCTTGCTCAAACTTATTCTTCGTGCGATATGGCCATCTTGTTGCACAATCTATGTTCATTTTGGAAAAAATGTAAAAGGAAAAAATACCGCGATTTCTGTTTTTTGATTTTAAATGTTATTCATTATACCCTTGCAGTTACGTAATCCGTTAATCTGTCCGTTATTTATTTTGAACTATTCAGTTAATAAAAGTATTTAAAATAAATAAACAGCAATATTAATAGTATTTTTTTCATTCTTCATATTTTTTCCAAAACAAAAAAATTAAAAAGATTGCTCATATTCGGAATTCCATCAGGGTCGTGAAATCCAAAGCGCGCTAACGAACTGGGCCATCAAGACTAATTATTTAATCAAATATTTGACATCATTTTCTACAATGGTTTTTTAAAACACCGTTATCGAACGCTCCATGCTAGTGCATCCGCCGTAAAATATTTCCATCTTCTACAATGCAAGTATGAACGATAAAGTAAATTAGACCGCATTATGCAATAACGAAACAAGTGACAAAATTCAAAAATGGAGTTTATGGTGCCTGCCATCTTTTAATAATTATTGAAACTTATATTTCAAACTTAGTTAAAATTCCCTATTTTACTAAACAAAGTTCTGAATTATTGACTATGACTTTGGGCCAATTTAACAAAATTAAAAACCTTTCTATTCCTGTTTCTCGGGGTCCAATTAGCCTTGCGCAAATGTGTATCAAAAAAGTGCCACTAGCTCCCCTACCAAGGTGTCCCCCCTTGGAATAAAAATCGACCTGTTTTTTTTTTCTATTCTACGGTTTCGTTTATAGATTCTTGGTGCCATATGGAATCAATCATATCACATGTTGGTTTTTCACTATTTAGCACTTTTTTATAAAATGAAAGAATTACCAATTATCAATTAATGTGACCAATTTTAATATAAAAATAAAGGAAATGAAAAAACTCCCGAGTCACAGAAACCAGTCCAAGAATGACTTTCTCCTTAGCAAACAAAATTAAAGTTAGAATGTTAAAAATTATTTTATATCTCTGGAGTAGTTTTTTTCAGGAGGGAAACGATCGCTTAACATGGTCTTTGAGATTTTCTCATTTCCTTTATTTTTACCATTTTTTATATCAAATGTTAATTAATTGTTTATTTTTAGCTATTTTTAAATGAAGAGGCTCGCATGGAGAAGTGGGTTAGGGAACTGTATACATTCCGGCAAAAAGCACTCCAACAAGGATCAAAAACTGAACGTTAAACCTCAAATCTAAACACCAAAAAAATGACGAAGTCTTATTACTTCTACACGTTTTTCGTTCCTCTAATTTTAAGTGTTAGTTTTTTAGTAATAAAACAAAAAACAGTGGCAGAACTGTGTGAAATAAAGACGTGTCCGTATTGTTATGGCAAGAATATGTGTAACGAAATAGCAAAAAATAAAATTACTTTACAATATGGCCGCGTTTCGGATTTTATTTTTAACATTTTCAGCGTGAAAAATGTGTATTTCGCCACCTATAACAATAAACCGGTTATTTTGAAAAAATTAGCTCATAATTCCGAAATACAGAAGTTCGACAAAGACCTTAGTGATAAGATAATTAATTTGAAACTGTTAAGAGGTACTTTGAACTTCAAATTGACTGAAACTTTTGAAAACTCTCATTTTCCTCCTTTTTATATATGCGATAACGAAACATTCGATATTTTTTGGGAGCTTTTGAATCCGTCGAGTATTAAAAGTACTTATACGGTTTTAAGTCTCAACGCCGAACCGATTTTGCTTCAACTTTTCAGTAAGGAACAAAAATTTGCAGTGCCTAAATTTTTCGGAGCTTGCGGTAGAGTGACGATTCAAGAAAACGCCGGAAAACCTTTGCTCAATATCGAAAAATTCAATTGGTATCAAAGAGCAAAAGTGGCTTATAATCTGTTGAATGCCGCTCAAAATTTCACGAATGACCATAGAGATTTTCGACTGTATCTGACTGACATATCGCCTGATAATATAGTGGTTGATCATAATCTCGAAGTCAGCTTTATTGACTTAGAACATGCTATTTTGAAGAAAAAGACTGAAAATATATCTGCTGGAGATGTACATTATTCTAGGCACGATGAGGAGGAGTATTCTTTCGATCCAAAAGGAATCTGTGGTGGCAAATTGAGTGATCACAATATATATGGAGTTTGTAGGGTAAGTTTACTTTCTCAGATTTATTTTTAATATAATATAAAAATGAGTACCAAAATTTTAATCACATACACATGCTGATCGGAATTAGTTTTCATAAACAGACATTTGGTGAACCAGAAGAGCTGGAGTTTGATATTTTAGGGACTATAGTAAAATTGGCAAATAATAGACATTAATAACCAGAAAACGATCGGTCATATCGCCAAAATTGCAAATATATTATTTATATTAATATCCAAGATTTTTTCGATTTGACAGCAACCATTGACCTATTGATAATATAAAATGCGCTGCATGAGGTGTGTTTATACCGAGCGGGCTGGTATTACAACCAAAGCATCTACTTCATATTCGGAAGCCAGACCTGTTAAGAGTTTTTCAGTGGTTTTCTCATAGTAATAGACAAATGCTGGGCCAATACCTTCCCCTCAGACCCCAGATCCCTACATTGAGCCTCTAACGCCCCTTTCACAACCGAGAGAATGAAATACAAAACTTTTACTTTTTTGATTTAATATTTATATTGTCTTAAGGTTTTTTAATTAAATTTACTAGGACATATTATTTTCCTAAAACCCTGCTATAGGAGTTGTCCTCCTGTTCAGGGTAGTTTGCCCTGATTACAATCCTAACTTAGCTAGGCGATTTTCCTAAGTTTGGGCGCGTGGGACCTGTGTGGTAAATTGTGTTACCAAATAATATCGCCAATTTTGCTATTTTCAGCTTCATATATAGACAAATCCATAATGAAGTGAGAAATATGATTTAGGGAAACCACAAAAATCTAAATCACGATGATATACGTGTTTTTTTTTATTCAACAATGTTCCATCTGTGTTTGACGTAAGTGGCTGAAAGCTGAAAATAAGAATGACTGACATTTCGCCTAAATGATAAATTTGACGTTTGACATTGGGTGAGGTTATGAAGACTAGAGAGAAGGAGGCGAATCGGCAATGGTCATATTTCAAATTTCCCTCCTTCTTTTTATTAAGTTTGACAAATTGACTGTAGTTGGCATGTCTAATGACAGCGCAGTCAATTTTCTATGTAAGTCAATGTGAAATAATGTGTTTTTTTAAAAAATTGATGAAAAGAATCAAAATAATGTGAAAAAAAGTACCTGAGTACAAGTAACATGAGTGACAAAAAAAACATCAAAGCAAGATTTACGTCGTTTCAGATTGTAAAACCGGATAAAAATCAAATCATTGGTTTAAAGCACACATGTTGTATGTCCATTTTTGTCGAAAATGGGATAGGTAGGATTCTATATCTTTCATGATGAAATCTTTATGGTTACCAAATATAGTACGTCTACTTAAATAGGTTTACCATTCAGTAAAGTAATACTAATAAAAATTATACAGCTCGTCATAGTCACCTCCAACTTTCAAATCGATTTTACTCAAAATGACATTTTTGGACATACATTTGTGCTCTAAGCCATCGAAATGTAAAACTAAAGAAAACACAAGAATAAATCAATTCAATGTCTTTTTAAAGCTTATAATGTAAGTAAAATAATGTATTCATCTCTAAATATAATATTTATTCTAAACTAGTCACAATATGTTTCTTACGAAGTGTAGTTTATTTTAATAATATAAAATTTTACAGTTATAGATGCTGACTTACAAAGAACAATAATTATGCATTAAATTTAACTTACTAGAAAAGAAAATTTATTTTTTATAGAGTTTTAATGTTAGATAAAGTTGCTACTGTTATTTTTGTTTTGGAACCCAATTGTGTCATTGTAAATGTTTTTTATAGGATACTAAACGTTTAGAACAGTGGCAGCATATATATCGTTCCTAGTGCCTATAAAGCACTTTCTAGAGATGATGCTGTTCTATACTTTTTAGAAGATATTATCAAATATGAGACTATTTTTACTGATGGTACTGTTAGCAAAATAAAAAGGGGAAAGCTGAAATTAAAGGATGTGGTAATACCATGTACATTCCCAAATTTCCCTTTATACTTGTATAACAACAATAAAAAATATGTTAACTGTGATTTATTTTACTCTTAAAACTATATATTTGTTCAATTCAAAAAAAAAATTGCCACAAAATTGTACTTATCAAATTTTAGCGATTAAGAAACCTTTTTGAATTTGATCATACATACCTAATTTGTATTTTATATAGATAAAATTAAATAATTTATCAATTAAAACATGCAAGACTTATTTAGAAATAAATACAACAGTATGTTCTGTGCTTTATTTAGCTGTAAACAAGTTTATTTTTATTATTTTGACAAAATTATGTATAATCCCCATAAGAAGCTATGTATTTTGAACAACGTATGCAGTACCAGCGCCCATGCGGTTAATTATAGAAGCTCAATTAGTATGCCGATTCGTCTCCTTACCTCTAGTCTTCATAGGTGAGGTGAATAAAAGCAAGCATTGGCTTTTACCTACTAAGTTTTGAGCGCATACTTGCTAGTAGGTGAATAATAAACGGCTTTACTTACGCTCACGAAGCAAAAACTTGCAGACTCGAGTTATTACTTTTTTAGCAAGTAGTGCCTCAAAATGATAAGTATTTACTTTTTCTGGAGTGAATAAAAGCAAAAAAATAATTTTCTTATGAAGTAAATACTCTTAATTTTTGCAAGGTTGATATGAAGTGACCTTACAGTAAATTTGATACCTTCTAAGTGTTTAAATTATGGCAGCAATCATGAATATTCGCAAAGTTAAACAATAGTACAGTATATTAAAGTTGTTAATGCCAGTGAATGAACACAACTCTTTGGCAAATTTTAAAAGATCTGAAATTGTTTTAATTTTTGAGGTATGCACTTGTACACTAATGTCAATACACTTTTGCAACCTCTATGTCTTGTTTGGTGTGAGTAGCTAGGCTATCTTGAAACAAATCACTCTCAACTATGACTTTGTTTATTCTCACTATCACATTTAACACTGATTGGACTTTTTTTAGTTTGGACACAGAATCTTTATCCTGTGGTTTGGATCTTCTTTTTCCTTCTCTAAATATTTGATTTTGAAGTTTATCGAACAGAATCGTCAAACATTTACTTAAAAACTGGCAGGAAGGCACAGCGATTTTTTTTTATATTTATTTTCACTTTGGATGAGGCATCTACAACACAAAAAATTTAAAATAAAAACATTCAATCGAAAAATAAATCTATATTACCTCTAGGCTAATAATCATGTTCTTTAAAATGCTGTGAATGGAACAAACTTTTAAATACTTTGATACAGGCTTCTCAATTTTCAACTTTTGTAACCATGCATTTTTTGCAGAATTTCCACTTGCATTTTATAAAAATTACCCTACATTTACCAACTTTAGGAAGCACACGAATTATAAAAGAAGGGTTCATTCTTTTAGGGCTGCATTGAGGCACACAACAAGTGTGTTTTTCACTGACATTCCACTTATATTCCAAATAATGTAATATTTTAATATATATGATAAAAAAATTTAAAGCATTAGCTTATTAAATAAGAAAAGAAAACCCATCAGAGCCTACCTTTGGGACCATGGTACTCCTTTGTTTAAAACTTTTTTGTTCTCTATTTTGTCTCTTTTAACCATGAGTACGCTTGTTAAGTGATTTAGTAATTTTTAGGACTAAACATCAGATTCACCTTTAGGGACCGCGGGTTCAGTTGTGCCATCTTGGGTTCTCTGAAAGAATGTTCTGCAGAGCCCGGGCTGGCACATCAGAATCACGCGAGTGACATTTTTGTTTTGTCTTGACATCAAAATAATAATATCATTTATATTAAACATTTATTTAAATTTAACTAACAATAAATTAAATCTTTAAATTCAATAACACATTTTGATCTCCGTTAACCTCCAATCACTCGAATCACACTCGGAGAAACATGTTCCACACTGAGGTGAACGCACCTCCTTCTGTTGACATTTGACAAGTCAAAGTCTTCAAGTGTCGCTTGTCACCACTGTCATGTGGAAACGGTTAAACAACTTGAACCAAAATGAAGAGAGAAATTTAAATTTGAAAATATTAATATTAATAAAATTATGATTTAGCAAGTTGTAAATATCCCGAAATATATAATTTTGGTAGTGAGGATGACCAGGAACTTGTTGGATACGTTGTGGACAGTAGGTAGACTTTTTCATAATTATAATGTATATAAAAAAACCTTCAGTTTTTTTACTTTGGCCTTCTGCGTTTTACTTTCTTCATATCAAATATTGTATTCTAGATTCAAATTTCAATATATCTTCCACAGTCACCCTCTAATTGTAAATTTTTTTAAATTTTAACTAATTTGTTAACCTTTTTTCAATTTTGTGAATAGTGAGGGTGGCATGATTCCTTAATTCCACACAAGCTAACTTGCTTCTGGAAATCAGATTTGATTTGTAAGGGCTTATCCCACACTCACTATTCCCAATACCAGTTTTTTGTCACTTTGTTTGTTTCTTGTAATTTTTAATTTGTTCAAACAATTGTATATATACTATTTTAACTTTTGACTTAAAAGTCTAATTCAGATTTTATAATATATTTTTTAAAATCTTTTTAAATTGTAAGTTTACATCCACAATTTTTGTAGATGAGCACTGATGATGGCAAATAAGCCGAAAGCGCTTTGCATTGATTAATAAAAAAGTTTTGCACGAAATACAAGTTTTTCCTTTTGAATATTAAATAAGATATTTCAAACAAAATACTTGGTAAATTTTAAAATATTGACATGACCTGATAAACAAAACTTGACAGAACACAGACGGTCAAATGCTATAACTTTTAGTTTACAGTAGAGGGCATATCGCTTATCTTCAGATCCCAATACTTCAACATACAGGTTGTAGGTTTGTATATAAACAATTGTGTTCAAACGTCAAAAGTTGTTAACTATCTCCTTCATTATCTAATCCATCGGTTTTTAAAACTAAATAAAAACAAAACATTCTGTCATTGGTTTATCATAAAGTTTTTTAATAGACAGGCTAGGAAAAAAGAATATGAGC